TTACATGCGACCATCCAGCCTCTCGGCCTTAATCATGATGGATTTTTGTCTTCGAGCACATGTCCACCCTCAAAGGGGTGGTCGTTACATGCGACCATCCAGCCTCTCGGCCTTAATCATGATGGATTTTTCTTCGATCAGTCATTCAACATAGGCCACCATATATGCAAAATAGAATTAAAACAATCGATTAGGCAAAGCGTTGAAAATCGAAATGGAAATTTCATTAATCAAGATTGAGAATTCAATTACATCATTGTTGTCTGAAGTTTCCAACAAGAGAAACAAGAAAAAAAAAAAGAAAGGAAAAAATTTTAAAGATAATATTTCTTCAAGTTAGCCACGTTCCATGACCTGGGGAGTGATCTTCCTTCCGCGTCCTTAAGCGAATATGCTCCTCCTGCATGAACCTTCTCGACCAAGTATGGTCCTTTCCAGTTGGGCTCGAGCTTGCCCACAGGTGCGCACAGAACTCTTACACCGGAGGGGTTTTCCGGTGAAGAGCCTCCGATGCTTAAGTCAGCATGTGTTTGTTCAATTTTCCAAAGTACAGAATGGATAAATCATCCCTCACAAGAAAAGACCCACTCCTCTATATATAGGAGTGAGGTACCTGCCCTAGGAGCTGCCCGAATTTTGGTGAGTTGTCCTACCCGCGCTGCCCGTCTGTACACACACAGTGTGCGTGTGTTAGAGATGTCAGAAGTGGATATCGCCACTATTGCTCTGCACCAATGTACTCTCGCCACGTGTCCCCCTGAGTGGAGGGAGATTATTCTTCTGCACATGCCGTTAGGATCTTCTAACGTCACCCACGCGCTTTCTCGCGTTCTAACCACGCTCTCGACTGCTCTTCACCTGTTAGGTGCTCGATCTGATCGAGCCCCCCATCGCTAGGTCGATCCTCGACCAGTTCTGCTATTCTGCTCGATCTCTTCCCTTTTGGTCGATCATCCTTCGATCAATGCGGTTTTCTCCATTTCGAGCTTGCCCGACCACTGTGGCAAACCGGTCTATTCCTCAACTATATAATATCCCATATCAAAGTGCACGCCAAAAGAAATACAAACTTCTCCTAAATTCCTTCTCCTAAACACTTTTTTCTCAAGACAAGTATTTAAGAAGAGGAATAAAGGATTAGAATGTTATACAACTATATGAATGAATGAATCCTAAACATCACCATAGGGGGGTTTATATAGGTTCAAGAAGGGAACATCCATGGCCCTTTGATCATTTTTGTATAATTCTTTCCACCCATCATGCTTAAGTGCTCCATTATCAATTCCACAATGAGTTAATAACTCAAAAGAAGCCATGATTCTCGGATAAGTGGTGTAGGAGGTGGAAAAGTGGCTCAAAAGTTCATAAAATCATGTGCAGCCAGTCAGGTAACTTCGCGAGTCGCGACGTCCATTTGAGAATCTCGTTTTAGCCTCAGTTTCTTTGGCGAATCGCGACATGACTCGCGACTTCTGGACAGCTATGCGCAACTTTGCATTTTAGGCTCGTTTGAGCTCGTCCGAACTTGAAATTGAGTTCCGTTTTTTCCCACATGTCGCTAACGAAACCTTATGCAACCATGATTTCCCGGTCTATGTTTGGGCTAAATATACTCCTCACGGTGCTTCCGACCTGCACACCAAAAATAAGAAGAAAAACGTAAAAAACCGACAAAATATACGAAAAACACATAAAAAGCCAAAATAGAGTAAAACACACAATAAAGTACAAAACAAACTAAAAACTAATAAAAAGACTTAAAATGGGGGGAAAAGAATAACAAAACAGTAACAAAAAATGTAACAAAAATTGTCACAACATGCACTAGTACTTTTATGTATTGAACAGGATCCCAGAGAGGAGAGTTCATTTTATACTGATCGTCGTAAATGAACTAGGCCTCGGTTAATTACTGCCCTCTGAACCCGTAAGATATTAAACATGCAGATATATATAGTATATATTACTTTGATTCACTTGGGTGAGGTTCAGTTCACTGGATCAATATTCCTACTGTTTTGGGTAATATTATTATATATAGGATGTGTTGTTAGGATTTTACAGTCACCATGTGCGTTAGTTTGATGATGCCCCCGGAGTGAGTTCATGAAGGATTGTTATGCTAAACCCTGCAGGTGGATTAAGTTCCGGCATAATAAGAATGTGATGAACGAGCGCTAGTTTCGGTGAAATAATAATAAATTAATTAATTCTTGATTTATCAGTAATCGAATTAATTAATGGACATTATATCTTAAAAGTGGGGAGGTAAATCGAGTAATTATTATTAGAGTCTCAAATGTAATTTGGGCTTGAAAAAATGGAGTGCAATAATATAATGTTGGGGGCCTATTAATATTATTTAATTAATTAGAGGAGTGGGCTTGGCCCACAGTTAGGCTAATTAATTACGGAGCCCTTTTCCTAATATCCTAAGGGTCCCTACTGTAGCTCTATATATACATCATTAAGCTCATGAGAATAGAAGACATCTGTCATAATACACGACACGCCCCACGCCTCTCTCTCTCTAGATCTCACTCGAGCTTTATCTTCTTCTTGTTGCTCCACTGATACATGTTGAAGAAGGGTGTATTGAGTAATACGGTAGAAGATCTGTAGGTAATCCGAGACGAAATATATTTTATCCTACAGAACTAAACGGAGGTCCGATCAAGGTGCACACCATACCCAGATGGCCGTCTCGACGAGAGATTTCCATCGCCGCTGAGATCGCCGGATTCTGACGCCGCACGCGCCCTCATGCGCCATCGCAAACTGTCTGGCTGCAAGTTCTGTTTTGATCCGTTTGTACCCGTTTGATCCGGTTTTGATCTGATCTTGTTCGTGCAAACCAAGACGTGATTTGCGGTCAATCATTCTTGGTCAACCAAATCTACATAAATTTTAAGCCGTAAGTTTTCTACGTCATACCTTTAGATCTGCTGTGCATAGGTTTTCGTTTGCTATTGAATTCGTGACTTGTACATAACGAGATCCTCACAGATCCCAACAGACAGGGCAGTGGAAATTCTTGAGAAGGGCTCAACAGAAATATGGGGATGTGTGGGCTATTGCGGGAGACTGTAATGATCTATGTAGCAATGAAGAAAATAGAAGAGGTAATAGGAGAACGGCAAGTACTTTCAGTGGTTTTAATGAATTCATTCATTGTATGGGAATGTAGGAGATCCCCTAGAGCGATTCCTTTTTCAAATGGAGAAATAATAGAGCCGATGAGGGTTACATTGAAGAACATGTTAGAGTAGGGTACCCGGCGTTCCAATCTAATTGGACGTATTCTACTTGTAAATACAGTCTATTGGAATTATATTATGAATAAGGCATTTCTTTATCTTAAGAGAAAGCATTTATCTTATAATTGCACTTAAGATAAAATCCCTAGATCACTTATGGTTATAAGGTATGGTTGCGCATAGAGATGGTGATCATGGAACATACCTTAAAAGCCGTGATCTTAAATACAGTTCCAAGTCGATGGATGTTTCGAGATGGGATATCGAATAATCCATAAAAGACTTGCACATAGTTTGTATGCTTGTTGGACAAGAATGTTGCATTCCATCAACATTAGCGTAAAACGTAAGTACATTTATGTGGGTGCTTGTTAGAGAACAACTTCACTGAACATGACCGTATGAAAATTCTTAATGAAGAATTTATTCAGTCGAATAAGAATTTTCATGTTACAATAGTACATGACTAATCCTAAGACTTGAGGCACAATGGTAACTTTGTGCATATTACATTCTACTTTGATTTATCCTTTTGGTAGCTAGCACTATCGTTTAAAGGGATAAGTTGGGTATTATGTTGATATGTATGGAAGTTTGTTAGTGGCCAATAAAGGATTCGACACTTATGAAGATAAGTGAATTTCCTATGTGTTTCATAGTTATTAATCCAAAGTCCTTGGCCAAGGCAGAGATGAATAGTGATTCATAACCGGGTTAATAAACATGAAATAGAATCATAGTTATTAAGTCAATTTGGGTTTCGACAAAATCATACCCAAGACTTAATCGGGAAATTAGATGTCGAAAGGATTTTACATGTATGGAGTTGTAATCGGAATAGGTTTACTCGCTATTCACTTAATACTAGATTCATGCTACTTGCTAGGTGTTACCATGATATGTGGGTTCATAAATTAAAGGGTTAATTCATGAATAAGAGTTAATAAGATTTAACTCAAATTACAAAGTGTTGTAAACCCACTACTAGTATTAAGGTGAACCTAAAAGGTCACACTAATTATGAACAAAGGTAAAGATTGTATTTCTAATGGTTAGAATTAATTGATAAATATCTAATTTGATTAGATATCAATTAAAGGAATATATTAATCAATAAGATTGATTAATTACATTTTGGATATTACTTTAGTAATTAAGGTAATTACTAAATTAATAAAGTTGAATTTTAAAATAGGATTTTAAATTTCAAAAATCCAAAATAATAATAATATGATTATTATAATATTGGGAAAATGATATAATAATAAAGTCTTGAGAAAGATTCTCAAGATTTATTATCCAATTATTATTTATATCTTTAAATATGATTTAAGGATTAAAATAATAAATATGATTATAATAAAATGGTTGTTGATGGTTGTTTGAACTACTTAACATATCTTATTATTTTCAAAGTCAAAAGTTAGTAAATACTATTTAAATAAAATTTGATTTTATTTAATATTACTAAATGTTGATTATTTTATGCTAAAATGTTTAGTATAAATATATGCAAAATGGTTTTGCATTTAAGTGAAGTTTTTGATCCTAAATTTCTAAGTGTTAGAAAGAGAAGAAAGTGTTCTTCATAAAACTTCAAGAAAGAGTTCTTAAAATTCCCAAATAAAATTCATAAATATTCCTATACAAGAAAACCGAGTCTTTTCTACTAGCGAAGGAAAGTCGTCGGAACCGGGCTTCATAGGGTGGATACGTTTAGAGGGAAGACACTTGGATTCCTCTAGCGAGTAACCTCAAGTCGTTGAAGTTACAACCGGGAACCGATTCCCTCATCCATCATCAATAGTGAAGGAGTTCAAGACATTCGGTAAATATTTTTACTAGTATTTACTTTATAGTAACAAATCAAAATTTGTATATGATGCATGTTTTAAAGATGACGATCAGTTAATTCGCAATTAGTATGTACGGGTGTTGTATTTATACGATAAATACTTACTTTAAAAATTTTAAATTCCGCTGCGTACAGCCCGTACGGTACTATCGAACCCAACAGTGGTATCAGAGCCACGGTTATCGTCTTTAAAACAGATTTTGATTTGTTAAGACTTATGAGATAAGCAATATAATTAATTTTTTATATGATAAAAATATTAATTATAAAATTAAAAATCGTTTTTAAGCCACACGAGTCGTGTGACCTTGTCACACGAGTCGTGTGGCATGAAGAAAAATTTTGATTTTAGCTTCGTGATTTTCACACGAGTCGTGTGACCTTGTCACACGAGTCGTGTGAGCTCACACGAGTCGTGTGACGAGCCACACGAGTCGTGTGAGTCTGGGAAAAATTTTGATTTTCAATTCGTATTTTTCACACGAGTCGTGTGATAAGATCACACGGGTCGTGTGACCCTCACACGAGTCGTGTGACTCATAAATTGATATTTTATGTTCATTTCATTAGATGAATGTTTTAGGGATGATCATGAGCCTCATATTCATTATGTTTGAATGGATGTTTTCATTTTCAATATGATTGAATGAATGAATGGATGTTTAATTATGTTTTCAATATGATTGAAGAAATGTAATTTATCGAGACCTGCGAGTCTCTTGAGATGAAATTTGTAAAATTTTAAATTTTGTATCGTTAGAGATTAGATCAAGGTGGAGACCGTTCGATGACAAAGGCCCACGCATGTGTGGGTAATTTTACAAGTTGTAATCTCGAAGGCCTGTGCTTGTACGGGTAGATAGAATAAATGTAATAGAAGTAGTTCTACTATTTGTTTTATCACGTACATATGCATAGATCCATTTTGGCTCGAATGGATCGAATAGGAAAGGACATGATCATCCCACCATGCATTAGATGTATGTTAGGTTTATTTACGCTTTCGTTTCATTAGATGACTGAAACTGGTAAATAAACGTAAAGATGGTAATCGATGAGATCAAGGAACCCAAACGGATTAATTTGATTAATTCCATATCAAATCAATAATGGATAAAAATAAGTTGGAACTTATTAATCCAGGCCTTCCATCAAAAGTAGATGACATGAGATGCTACGATGTTTTATCATTGGCCACGAGTCGTGGGATGATTCTATGTCGAAAGCTGTGAACTCTATTAAATATATTGATATTCGTGAGACGGATTCCTCTTTGTGTTGGCCATGAGTCGTGGGACACTCTGGTGGGCCGTTATCATGAAAGTTTTGATGGGTTTGATTTGACACCGAGTAATATATATGGAGTCATAAAATTGAGGTATATAAGGAAAGGTGAGGCAAAACATCTTGAAGGTTGTATAGAGATACAATTGTCAAAAAGTTGACTACCGATAAAATTGTTTCATGGTGGCATCATAAAATTGGGACATGAAATATTTTTATTGGACTTCAAGCCCACTATGAAAATAATGATTTTCATAATTATAATGAGGTTCTAATTAAATTAGTGGGAGACATTTAATGTTAAAGACCTAATATTAAATGAATATAAATTCCATAGTCTAATTATTTTCTGCTTCGTTTGTTATTTTTGTAGATCAAACTACTAAAATGGCTAAGAATCCAATCGCGAGTATCCTTGATCATAATAAATTAACTGGTCCCAACTTCAATGATTGGTTGAGGAACCTAAAGATTGTTCTTCAGTCTGAGAAGCGAGAGTATGTTTTGGAAACAGCTCCTCCTCCTCCACCGGAGGATCAGACTGCTGAAGAGTATGGAGCCTACTTGCGTCATGTTGATGACAATCTCCAAGCTCGGTGCTACATGCTAGCATCAATGTCTAATGAGCTACAGAGACAGAACGAATTACTGAATAATGCTTCTGAAATCCTAACTCACCTGCAAGAGTTGTATGGTGATCGGACGCGACAAATTAGATATCAGATATCTAAAGAGCTTTTCAGGTGTCGTATGACCGAGGGCTCTTCAGTTCATGATCATGGACTGAAGATGATAGCTCTTGTGGAAAGACTCGAATCACTTGGAGTCATTATGGATAATGAACTCTATGTGGATTTATTGTTGCAATCTCTGCCAGCGTCATTCGATAACTTTGTCGTTAACTACAACATGCATAATATGGAAACTGATCTTCCAGGATTATTAAACATGTTGAAGACGGCTGAGTCCACCATTAAAAAGGACAAGCCGGTACTTCTTGTTGGATCCACTTCCGGATCAAAGGCTACTAAGTCTAAGAAAAGGAAGAGGAAGGGAAAGGTTCCCAATAAGCCCAACAAGAAGGCATATAATGATAAAGGGAAGAACAAACAGAAGGTTAATTCTCAGGCCGATCATGAATGTTTTCATTGTGGCAAAACTGGGCACTGGAAGAGGAACTGCAAGGAGTATCTTGCTAGTCTGAAAAGTTCAGGTATTTATTTTGTTGAAGTTAACTTGTCTGTTAACGATTCTTCTTGGGTATTGGATACCGGCTGTGGCTCACATATTTGCAATGATTTGCAGATGATGGCAAGAAGTAATATGCTAGATGGTGAAGAAACAATCCTAAGGATGGGCAATGGGGCAAGAGTTGCTGCTAAAGCTATTGGGACTGTTTATCTAGCATTGAATAATGATGTAAAGATTTGTCTATCAAACTGTTTGTATGTTCCGGATTTAATAAAAAACATTATTTCTATTCCAATATTGGATAAGGAAGGTTTTAAGTTTGTCATTGAAAATGGAAAATGTTCTATTTTCAAAGACACAACTTTTATTTATTCTGGAAATTTGACAAATGGGTTGTATACCATTACACCACAAAGTCCCATCCTAACCATTCAACAAAATAAAAGGAAATTAGATAATCATAGTTCATTCACAATTTGGCATGCTAGATTAGGTCATATATCCGAAAAACGGATTCACAAATTGGGACCTAAACTCGACCTTAGGGGAGAGGATAGGTTGCCTACATGTGAGTCATGTCTTAAAGGTAAAATGACTAAATCACCATTTGTTGGACAAGTGGAGCGAGCTAAAGGTTTGTTGGATTTGATCCATACAGATGTTTGTGGACCACTAAACGTTAGTGCAATGGGGAACTATCACTATTTCATAACCTTCACTGATGATTATTCACGGTATGGTTATGTTTACCTATTGAGGTACAAATCTGAAGTATTTGAAAAGTTCAAAGAATTCAGAAATGAAGTGGAGAAACAAATTGGTAGAAATATTAAAGTTCTTCGATCAGATCGAGGAGGTGAATATTTGACTAATGAGTTTCTTGATTATTTAAAAGATAATGGGATTGTCTCACAGTGGACGCCTCCTGGAACTCCACAACTCAATGGGGTTTCAGAAAGGAGGAATCGAACATTGTTGGACATGGTTCGATCGATGATGAGTACCACTGATCTACCTCTTTCATTCTGGGGCTATGCCTTAGAAACAGCAGCATATATTTTGAATAGAGTGCCAAGTAAAGCTGTACCCAGCACACCTTATGAGATATGGTGTGGTAAATCACCCTCATACAAATATTTACGAGTATGGGGTTGTACTGCTTATGTAAAGCAGTTAGTGGGAGGTAAGTTGGATATGAGATCCATCTTATGTAAATTTGTGGGGTATCCTAGAGAGTCTATTGGATACTATTTCTATGATCCCTCTGAACAAAAGGTGTTTGTTTCGAGGAATGCTGTATTCTTAGAGGAAGAGTTTATCTCAAAGAATAGTGGAGTCATAGAACTTAATGAAGAACCACAAGAAATTCCACAAAGTACCACAAATAACATACCAGTAGAGACTGGACCATCTGAAACACAACCTCTTCGGAGATCCGAAAGGGTTTCTAGGGCGCCTGAAAGGCTATACCTATTGTCAAAAGACAATGAAGAGGGATTCCTTTTGGATAATGATCCAATAAGCTATGATGAGGCAATGTTGGACATTGACTCAGATAAATGGCAAGAAGCTATGCAATCCGAAATAGATTCCATGTATTCAAACAAAGTATGGACTTTGGTTGATCCACCACAGGGTATTGTACCCATAGGTTGTAAATGGGTTTACAAGCGAAAACGTGGTGTAGATGGAGAAGTAAATACTTTTAAAGCAAGACTGGTTGCTAAAGGTTATACTCAAAAACAAGGTGTTGATTATGAGGAAACTTTTTCACCAGTAGCAATGCTTAAATCTATTCGGATATTGCTAGCCATAGCTGCGTATTATGACTACGAGATATGGCAAATGGATGTGAAAACTGCTTTTCTTAATGGAAATATTAAGGAAGACATTTATATGAAACAACCGCAAGGTTTCATATCCAATGGGAGTGAACAAATGGTTTGTAAACTTCAAAGGTCTATTTATGGACTTAAACAAGCTTCGAGGAGTTGGAATATTCGGTTTGATGAAACGATCAAAACGTTTGATTTTCATAAGAATCCGGATGAACCATGTGTTTATAAGAAGGTTAGTGGGAGTGCAGTTACATTTGTTGTTCTATATGTTGATGACATCCTACTCATTGGGAATGATGTAGGGATGTTGCAGTCAACTAGGACATGGTTGTCAAAACAGTTTTCCATGAAAGACTTGGGAGAAGCATCCTTTATCCTAGGGATAAAAATCTATAGGGATAGATTTAAACGGATGATCGGACTATCCCAGTCGACGTACATAAATAAGGTGCTACAACGGTTTAGCATGGAAGAATCCAAACGAGGATATATTCCAATGAGTCATGGGATTTCTCTTTCTAAGACGATGTCTCCAAAGACACCTGAAGAAAGAGAACGGATGAGTCATATACCTTATGCATCAGCTATTGGTAGCATTATGTATGCAATGTTATGTACAAGACCTGATGTGGCTTATGCACTTAGTGTAACGAGCAGATATCAGTCTAATCCAGGTGAAGAACACTGGAAAGCCGTTAAGATGATTCTTAAGTACTTACGAAGGACTAAGGATATCTTTATGGTATACGGCAATGGAGAACTGAAACTAGAAGGCTTTACTGATTCTGGTTTTCAGTCCGATAAAGACGACTATAAATCCATGTCTGGATACTTATTTACTCTGAATGGAGCAGCAGTTAGTTGGAAAAGTTCCAAACAAGAAACAATTGCTGACTCTACGACAGAGGCTGAATATATTGCTGCATCTGATGCTGCAAAAGAAGCTGTTTGGATAAGGAACTTTATCCAAGGGTTGGGTGTAGTACCATCCGTTGTTGATCCAATAATGATTTATTGTGATAACAATGGGGCTATTGCGCAAGCAAAGGAGCCAAGATCTCATCAAAAATCCAAACACATTATGAGGCGATACCATTTGATTAGAGAAATCATTGGTAGAGGCGATGTCGTGATGGAGCGAGTCGACTCAGCAGAAAATATAGCAGACCCCTTAACTAAACCCTTATCACAGAAAGTGTTCGAAGGACATCTTGAGAAGATGGGTCTTAGATACATGAGTGATTGGAACTAGGGCAAGTGGGAGATTGTTAGAGTAGGGTACCCGGCGTTCCAATCTAATTGGACGTATTCTACTTGTAAATACAGTCTATTGGAATTATATTATGAATAAGGCATTTCTTTATCTTAAGAGAAAGCATTTATCTTATAATTGCACTTAAGATAAAATCCCTAGATCACTTATGGTTATAAGGTATGGTTGCGCATAGAGATGGTGATCATGGAACATACCTTGAAAGCCGTGATCTTAAATACAGTTCCAAGTCGATGGATGTTTCGAGATGGGATATCGAATAATCCATAAAAGACTTGCACATAGTTTGTATGCTTGTTGGACAAGAATGTTGCATTCCATCAACATTAGCGTAAGACGTAAGTACATTTATGTGGGTGCTTGTTAGAGAACAAGTTCACTGAACATGACCGTATGAAAATTCTTAATGAAGAATTTATTCAGTCGAATAAGAATTTTCATGTTACAATAGTACATGACTAATCCTAAGACTTGAGGCACAATGGTAACTTTGTGCATATTACATTCTACTTTGATTTATCCTTTTGGTAGCTAGCACTATCGTTTAAAGGGATAAGTTGGGTATTATGTTAATATGTATGGAAGTTTGTTAGTGGCCAATAAAGGATTCGACACTTATGAAGATAAGTGAATTTCCTATGTGTTTCATAGTTATTAATCCAAAGTCCTTGGCCAAGGCAGAGATGAATAGTGATTCATAACCGGGTTAATAAACATGAAATAGAATCATAGTTATTAAGTCAATTTGGGTTTCGACAAAATCATACCCAAGACTTAATCGGGAAATTAGATGTCGAAAGGATTTTACATGTATGGAGTTGTAATCGGAATAGGTTTACTCGCTATTCACTTAATACTAGATTCATGATACTTGCTAGGTGTTACCATGATATGTGGGTTCATGAATTAAGGGGTTAATTCTTGAATAAGAGTTAATAAGATTTAACTCAAATTACAAAGTGTTGTAAACCCACTACTAGTATTAATAGTGAACCTAAAAGGTCACACTAATTATGAACAAAGGTAAAGATTGTATTTCTAATGGTTAGAATTAATTGATAAATATCTAATTTGATTAGATGTCAATTAAAGGAATATATTAATCAATAAGATTGATTAATTACATTTTGGATATTACTTTAGTAATTAAAGTAATTACTAAATTAATAAAGTTGAATTTTAAAATAGGATTTTAAATTTCAAATCCAAAATAATAATAATATGATTATTATAATATGGATGAAAATTGGGAAATGAATATAATAATAAAGTCTTGGAATAGATTCTCAAGATTTATTATTATATTATTATTTTTATCTTTAAATATGATTTAAGGATTAAAATAATAAAATGAATATAATAAATGGTGGTTAGATGGTTGTTTGAACTACTTAACATTGTTTATTATATATAAAGTCAATAGTTAGTAATATGATTTTTAAATAAAATCAGATTTTATTTAATATTACTAAATATTGATTATTTTATGCTAAAATGTTTAGTATAAATAGATGCAAAATGTTTGCAAATTATGCTAAGTGATTTTGTGAGAAATTCAAAGAGAGAAGAAAGTGTTCTTCATATATTTCAAGAAAGTGTTCTTGGAAATTCCCAAATTATATCTATATATATATATATTCCTATACGAGAAAACCGAGACATTCCTACTCGCGAAGGAAGGTAGTCGGAACCGGGCTTCATAGGGTGGATACGATTAGAGGGAAGACACTTGGATTCCTCAATCCGTTGACGTTACAAACCGGGAACCGATTCCCACAATCCACTTCGGTTAAATTGAAGGAGTTCAAGAACTACTCGGTAAATACTATTTATTTGTATTTGTATTTACTTTATTATAACAAATCAAAATTTGTATGTGATGCATGTTTTAAAGATGACGATCAGTTAATTCGCAATTAGTATGTACGGGTGTTGTATTTATTCGATAAATACTTACTTTGAAAAATTTTAAATTCCGCTGCTTAAAGCCCGTACGGTACTATCGAACCCAACAGAACAACCCAATAAAATTTTTGTTTCCCTTGGCTGGCAACAACAACATCCTGCAACAAAGGCTTCAAATTTGTTTAGGAGCTCATCGGACCATAATGTTCTGTTTTTGGATACTTCTAGGGAAAAAATCAATAGAAATGGTCGATTCATATTCAACAATGGTTGGGTTACTATAGAAGGGATTGAAGAGGCTGTGGAATCTGGGTGGGAATTGCAGTGTGAAGGAACTCCTATGTTCAAGGTTAAGGAGAAGATTCAGAATACTTGAATGGAGTTAATGAAATGGCATAAACCGGTGAGAACAAACTATGGGAGCCTTATCCATCGAATAAATGCACAGTTGCAGGAGCTGAGAGAGGCGGGGGGACAGAGATTGGAATCTATGGGAAACTCTGAAATAAAATCTAAATAAAGCTCGAGCATTGTGGCTTAAAGTTAGCGACCGCAACTCAAAATTCTTCCACGCATATACACTGCACAGAAGGAAGAGGAACACTATCCAGAGACTTGTGAGAGACGATGGAGTGGTCTGTGAGGCTGAGGAAGATAATGAAAAACATATTACCGAATATTATTCCAGCATATTTGCTATTGAGGGGTCACAGGGTGGTGATAGTGTGCTTGAGCAGATTCCCCAGTCTATTTCTATGGCCATGAACATTAGACTAGTGGCCTTGGTTGGGGATGTTGAGATAAAAAAATGCACTATTTAATTTGGCTTCGGAGAGAGCATCGGGGAATGATGGCATGTCCTCGATCATTTTTCAACACTTTTGGCATATTGTGCACAAAGATGTTTGCCTTGCTATCAGAAGCTTCTTCTCATCAGGTTAGATTTTGAGATCCTAGAACCACACGCTTATTACTTTGATTCTGAAATGTTTATATCCTGATTCCTTGAACAAGTTCAGACCTATTAGCCTTTGCAGTGTTCTCTATAAAGTGATTGCAAAAATATTGGCTGCTAGATTGAAAGATTGCTTGTCGGTGTGTATTAGTCCCGCTCAAACCGCTTTTGTTCCTGGTCGGCAGTTAATTGATAATGTAGTCATTGCGCATGAAATGTTTTATTTTCTTAACCGGCACAGTACTGGTCCTAACAGGTTTATGGCTATAAAATTGGATATGGAGAAAGCGTATGATATCATTGAGTGGGATAGTATTAGTCAGACGATTTTAAAATGGGTTTTCACCCAAAATTCATTAAATGGATAATGGCTTTTGTGTCATCTGCTTCCGTTTTTTTCAATATAAATGGCAGAGTTTGCGGATTTGTTACACCTACGATAGGGATAAGACAGTGTGACCAATTTGGGGTTGTTCCTTACTGAATAAGCATTCCAATTTGGGGTTGTTCAAAGGCATTAAACTATCTCAGTCTGGGCCTCCTATTTCCCATCTCAGTCTGGGCCTCCTATTTCCCATCTCATATTTGCAGACGATTCCCTTGTTTTTTGTAAAGCCGATGTGGATCATGCTAGCAAGTTGTTGGAGATTCTTCAAAGTTACAATTTATTCACAGGGCAGAAGGGGAATCTGTCAAAATCTTCCCGGTTTTTGAGCAAAAACTGCTCTGAGGAGGAGAGATACAGGCACTGCAATATTCTCTTTGACATTTCTGTCCACAGATCCACTAAGTACCTAGGGCTGCCCCTAGGTATTGGAAGATCGAAAGTTGAGGCATTTGCATATGTCGTTGATGCTACTAGACACAGTTGGAAGAACAAATTTTTATCAACAGCAGGGAAGGATGTTTTGATCAGATCAGTTCTTAATGCGTTGCCGGTATTTGTCATGTCTGTGTTTTTGTTGCTGGTTGGGGTGTGTAAACAGATTAACAGGGTGATTGCTGATTTTTGGTGGAGCAAGGGGGAAGAACATCTGAAAGGCTACCACTGGAAAGCTTGGGATAAATTGACTTTACTAAAAAAGTGTGGGGGTCTGGGTGTTCAGGATTTGATGGTGTTTAACAAGGCTATGATCTGCAAGCAGTTATGGAGAATCCTGCATCACCTTGACTTGTTGGTTAGCCAAGTGCTCAAACACAAATACTTTCCTTCTTGTTCTATGTTTGAATACCAACACAGGCAAATGTTCCTTTTTTATCAATATTTTGCAGGCAGGCATGAAGATAACCATTGGGGATGGAGCATATACAAATATTGCAGATTGCAACTTGGTTCCTGGCCTCAAGTTGGGGCAACCAAAAGTCAGAATTTATGTACCTGATGTTCTCCTCAAAGTAAGAGACTTGATGTGCAATGGTGATAGTGTAATAGTCCAGCTCTATTATTAATAAAAGTGGCAGTTTAGTTCTAAGTTTGAACTATTTCCTTTTATTAATATTGCTCATCTTGAGTTCCGAGCCCAGTTATTCAGCTATTCTGTAACGCCCCGTTTTATTCTAAAGAATTTATCAAATTAATTTACAAAAATCAGAGTTTTTTTTTAATCAACTCAAAATTTTAAACTCAACGGGCGCTACTTAACTATCGACCACATTTAAACAATTACGACAAATAAATAAATCCTACACATGCATAAGCCAACACTTATAAAAATAAACCGACTTATTCATAAGTCTCAACATCATTCAAAAAGCTTAACATAATCCATGGTTACAAGCGGAAGCATAAGTAATGCAACATAAATAATCCAAAATACAAGCAAGCAGTTTATCATAAATAAAACAGGCGCAAGCAAAAGACACATCCATTAATTTAATGACCACCATCTCGCTCGTCTTTACGTCACCGCCTCCAGCTCATCTCACCCTAAAGAATGAGGAGAAGACAACAACAGAAAACAAACAATGGTGGTGAGCATAACCAACAAGTTCACCATTATCGCACAGTTATCCAGTATAAAGCATTTTAAAACAATTTCACAGTATTCAGTATGCATAGAATCCAAAGTCTATCTCCCTACATGGCCCTATCGCAAACCTCCTATGTACATACAACAACCTTCCGGATACAACGACAAGGATGTAACTGGAAACCTCCCACCCCGAACTACTCACGGATCATGGGATCTTTTTTCAGGAGATAGTGGAGCTGTTTTTTCCCCTCGAAAACACACGGATCAGGGCGTCCTCCTCCCGGATACAACAGGCAGGTGACCTCTCACTGTTTATGCATTCGTCAAATGCACTACCAACGGGACACTTAGAATAGGGTTCTCATGCATACAACAATTTTTGAACGAAACATATATACGAAATAATAAGTGCGGTAATTATGGAAACAATGCAAATGTACCCACCTGGATTTCCGGACTGAAATAATTCGACAAGCAAAGGGTGTAGGTCGAGGCTTGACTCCTCAATTACCTACATTCGATGGGACTTGTCTTAGATCCTTATCAAGGCTTTACTACTACTCGCTAGTCTTATACATATATATAAACTTTGAAAACTAGCTCGCTTGGCTTTGCCTTGCTCGCATACTTTGAAAACATTTTATGTTTAAGTCTTTTTGGTTGGTGGATATCTTGGCTTGCTTAACTTTTAACTCTAAGGACATTTAAAGATCGAACATACTACATGGATCAAGAAATATATCATTTGGGTCATATGATCGTGCATTTCGATAGTGCGTGCCATTTTTGAAAATCAACAAGTGATTTTGTAAAACATAATATGCGCAGCGATATATAAATGATCACAACTAGCAACACATAACTCGAAATAACATGAAACCAGTAGCATGGGATTCCTAAAACATAGATCTACAACTCTCAAGCACAACATAGAATCAGACGAGGTCATTATCCACATGATAAATCAACAAATATTCACATAAGGGTGCAGTAAAAAACATTCAAATAGGATGGCAGTATTTTGAGGATAACTCGAGCTACAGTCATGATAAAAATATGAATATGATACTCATAGAAACGTAAGAAATATATCTACAATTTTTGTGAAGACAACTTTAGCAAATTCTGACATCGCCATAAAGATAAATCAACAACAACACAAAACATAGCTGTAGTCCAGAAAGGAAAAGAACAACTTACAGAACTTCAGTAATTCCAAGATAACAGAAGCTACAAACATGATATTACTGAAATTCGAAAACCCTAAGATAGCTAACTCAATTTCCTACAACTTTTCTGAATCTTCCATTGGTAAAATATGATATTAACAATGAGGTTAAGTAATAAACATTCAGATCACAAAACAGTCCGGAGAACAACTTTTCGAATAGATAGCACCTTAGTAAAATGGCAACAACTCAAGCTACACAACTCCAATTTATACAAATTCAAAACCTACTGAATCTACACATGGAATTATACAATTTCTATGAAGAAAACGTTTTCATACGAGCACGTTTGTGTCATCAAAACAGAGCACGTATTCAATGCATAAACACAGTCTTGGTTTCATAAAAACTAAGGGTACATCCCAATTATAAAAATCATATAATATCAACCGAAACTCCAATTCGCATAATTCTAATTCCTACAGGCAGCTGACATCATATACTACATCTGTTGTGAAAAATATATTTTTATTCAGGAACGTCTAGAATATAAAAAATAGCCATGAACTAAGATCAAAGTTTCTGCCTGAGTTTATTCAAATCAGCATGCCCGTCCAAATTTGAAAATTCATATAAAATTCATTTCAACTCTAAATCACGAAATTCCAAAGCTCACTGAAACCTAACTCAGAGAACTTTAAAACTCATGAAGAATACTTGTCCAAGAAACATCATCTTGGTCGAAAAAAATAGATCCCAACTGAGGCTCGATTTTTGGGTGTTCATGACTTTAACAACTCAATACATTCGCACAACAATCATAGCATCAAAATCACTTAATTTACACGTTAAGCAAGCCTCGATATCACTATTTTAAGACATAAACATTCGATAAATCGCAAACACTTTGTCCGAGGTCCAACTCGGTCTTATTAAAAATGATAGAAAATAAAATCTTATGATTCGCATGAATTATTACGTACTTTCGATTTGATAACATATATCGATCCACAAATATTACATAACACGAAAATAAACGAGTCGGGGTATTGAGCCCTAGTACCGTTCTCGGGAATAGGCTCGAAAAAGGGGACAAGGCAACGAAACGGCAACTCGCGGTGGCGGCACTCGGCGGCTATGCGCGACTCGTGAAGAAAACTCGCTGGAGAGTGACTCGAAGAGGCACTGTGCGACGGTTATGTCGCCGCTGGGTTGCTCCGACGCGAAGGAGATTCTCATCGAGTTGCTGCAC